GTTCTGAGATTAGCAGTCTCCACCAGGACTATATGAAGTTGGAGGAGGAGCGGTTCTCCAGAAGAAGGGGAGGATGAAGCACTTTGGGTCTGCCACACTTAACAAGATGAAGAGAGACCTCTAGTCAAAAAGATCCTTTGGATTGAGACTTATCTAGGCAACTTCCTAAAACTGCACAGAAAAGATCTACTCAGGGAATATATGTATAAAGATAGTAGAATTTCTCCTCTCTCTTTTATTTTATTGTGGTGAAAACGCGCTCACCGAACCATCTGCCAACCAACCCAACAACTTCCACGTTTACAAACTCAATGACAGTGATTACATTTTTCATGTTGTGTCACCTTAACGCTATCCTCATCCAAAACATCCCGCCACCATTAACATAAACTCAGTGCCCTCAAACAAAAACTCTGCTTTTCCTCCTCCCTTCCACCCCTGGTAACCGTTAATTATCTTTGGTTTCTATACATTTGTTTATTTCATATAAGTGAGATCATACAGTATTTGCCCTTTTGCGACTGACTTGGTTTCGCTCAGCATAATGTTTTCAAGGTTCATGCATGTTGTGGCCTGTATCAGGACTTCATTTCTCTTTACTACTGCATAACATTTCATTGTGTGTATATACCATACTTTACTTATCCATTCATCTGTTGATGAACGTTTCAATTGTTTCCACCTTTTGGCTGTTGTGAAAAGTGCTGCAGTGAACATGCGTGTACAGGTTTCTGTGTATGTTCCTGCCTTCACTTCTCCGGATATATACCTAGGATTGGTACTGCTGAGTCATAAGCTAATTGTGTGTTCAACTTTTTGATGAACTGCCAAACTGTTTTCCATAGTGGCTGTACAATTTTACATTCCCATTACCAGTGGATAAAGTTTCCAGTTTCTCCATAACCTCGCCAACACTTACTGTTTTCCTTTTTTTTTTTTTGACCATTGCCATTCTAATGGGGGCGAGGTGATACCTCATTCTGGTTTAGAATTTTTTAAAAAGACATACACACACATATACCTATGTATTTGTACAGATGTCCATGATATAATGTTATATGAAAAAAAAGGCAGGTCATAAAGTATGTATAGTAGGTTCTATTTCCATAAAAACAAACAAGGTTCCTATATAAGTGTATGTATGCTTGTATATATACGTTTGAGTGAGGAGAAAGGTACGGAAGAATACACAGGCTGATGCTATTGGTTACATCAGGAGTTGAGATTGGGGAGAGGATCAGCTTTGCCTTTATATATCTTTGTATTGGGTCATTTCACTTCTTAAAATAAGCTTGTATTACTTTTATAAATTGAAAAACATCAAATAAAAAAAATAAGAGAAGCCCATTCAGATTGCCCTCAGGAACAGGTATGGATGCAGGAACTGAAGTTAGGTAGCTTGGGAGTCGTCTCAGGCTGGAAATCCAGAGTTACCCAGACTTCCCAGGTCCCCAGGACGGGGGAATGTAGGACAGGACCTGGCAAACCAGCCTTGCCTGGAGCAACGCAAACTGAAGAGACCCACAGCACTGCTGGTTCACCAAGCCGACATCCCTCCCAGAAAGCAGACCTGAGTGAGTCAGATCCACCATCCCAATATGGCGAAATCCCACTGGGCAGTGTCCTTGCCTAGGGAAGTCTGAGGTAGGCCCCTTCTTGCCCAGCATGCAGATGGTTGCCTTTTGCTCATGCACTGCGCCCATCCCGATCAACTGTGGTGAGAATGGCTAGGCTGCTTCCAGTCAAAGCATCTGATGTGAGCCACTAATTATTCAGGAAAGAAGACCTCCCGGAAAGAAGACGTTCTGGGGCCTTTTTATTGAAAAGGGGGCGACATACTAGCTGGCCCTCTGAGCCTCCGCGGTCTATTCCGTTTGGGTGAGAACTTCTACTGCCTGGCACCAACTTTCTACAGAGGCTTGTCATAAGTAGCCCACCCTTGGGACTGTGCACGGATGAGGGTATGTGTGAGGTCATGGTATCCTCCCATTAGTTGTCAGGTAGCTGCCATATTAAATGTTGCCAAAGAGACATGGGGTGAAATTTTGGCAAGGGCACCAGGGATGTGCGATTTTGTGAGCTAATAAAAATCAGGAAGGCATATGACAGCAGCAGCTGCAACAGCAAGCACTGCCGTTTATTGAGCGCCTGTACTCTGCTGGGAGTCCCTTGGTGGTGCAAATGATTGCACACTCAGCTGCTAACAGATGCGTCAGAAGAAAGGCATAGCAGTCTCTTTCCAAAAAATCAGCCATCGTAAACCGTGTGGAGCACAGTTCTACTCTGATGCACATAGGGTCGCCATGAGTCAGAGTCGACTTGACAGCACCTGTTTTTTTGTTTACTCCCGGGCACCGTGCTAGGTGCGCTGCAGACATGCTGGCATGTACAGTGAAACCTGTGAGAGCTGGAACTCGATGGGACTGCCTTGTTTTTCCGGGTCTTGCAAGTTTTCCGCCCTTGACAGGGTACAGTCACTACTTTTTTGTCGCTTTCTATTTAGTGGAAAATATTTGAGTTTTCCTTCTCTGACAGATTTCTGCCTTACACAGGTGCTGGCTTTTGCAGGTTTTACTGGACTACTCAACAGTTCGAGGCAGCTACTTGCAGTTAGGATTTACAGATGAGGCTCAGAGTAAGCAATGTTCCTAAGGTTCCGCTGTTGGTAAATGGTAGGTTTGGGTTTAGGACCTTTGCCCTAAAACCACACAGCCTCCTGAAGAGCAGCCCTTATTAACATTTCCCACTCACCAGCCAAAGGAATTAGAGTGGCTCTGATTTTTGATGGTTAGTCTTAGTTCTTTAGATGGAATTATTTCTGGAGGGAATGGAACAATCTGTCAGATTTCTGAAATCCAATTCAAAAAGTAATGTGCATATGGAAGTATGACTTTAATGCAAGTGGCTCCAGCCACCAGGAGGAGCATGCCTGTTCTCTTACCGGTTCTCTTACCTGCTGAGACAGGGACCAGGGCAAGGACAGATTTAGGAACTGGGATTAGAAGATGAGTCCAGTTTGAGACACTTTGAACTGTGGGTGCTTATGGGAGTCCCTGGGTGGTGCAAACGGTTGAGTGCTCAGCTACTAGCTGAAAGGTTGGTGGTTTGAACCCACCCAGAGGCACCTTGGAAGAAAGGCCTGGCCAAAAGGTCACAGCCATTGAAAACCCTATGGGGTACAGTTCTACTCTGAAACACATGGGGCTGCCATGAGCTGGAATTGATTTGATGGCAATGGGTTTGATTTGGTTTTTATGAGACGTTGAGGCAGAGATGGCCAGTGGTCAGTGGGTAATAACTGTGTGCACCTCAGGAGAGACTCTGGGCTAGACATAAAGATGGAAGAAACTCTCTAGATGCTTGCATGCAACACGTGTGCAATTTGGTACAGCCTTTTAGGGATGCCATTTGGTTTACGTATTAAGAGTCTTAAAAATGTTCATACCCTTATACCCTCTAATTCCATTCTGGTAATTTGTCTGAAGGAAATGTCAGATGTATGCACAATGTTTTATACCCAAGAATGTTCATCATCTTAGGTATAACGGTGTAAAGTGGAAATAATTTTCAGGAAAGCAGTTCAGTACAACAGGCACTATCCATTCAAAGCTACCATTCAAAGGATGCATTGGGATAATGTATAGTGAAAAAATTAGGAGATAAAAATGCGTATCTATTAATATGATCCCAATCTTTAAAAAAATTGGATGTAAATCTACCAATATCATTTGGTTATATATGGCTGTGTGGTAGAATTACAGGTGAGTTTTATTTTCTTCTGAATGTTTTTCTCTATTTACCAAATTATCTACAGTGAATATGCATCACTTATATAACCAGAGGAAAAAAATGTTTATGAAAGAAAACAAGACCTATTTCTTTAGGTAAAAATGTCCCATTCTGATACACATAGGTGGTGAGGTGGTACCACCAGCAAGTACCTCTGCATGTTCATCATTGTTTCAAGGAAATGTATTTGAACATAAGCTCAGCTTCTCTGGATGATTGAAAACAGACAGCTTGTCACAGTTGACACACCAGTAGCTTGACGGAAAGTATGAGGTTTGACTGGAATGGACTGTGTTCTAAATACTGGAACCTGACTGGGCAGTCCTTACCTCACAGACGAGCTTCAGAATCTGACTGGGAGAGAAGCTGCGTCTGTGGGCTTTGTGGCTGAAATCAGCATCAGAGAATGATAGGGACGATTTTTCCTGACAGTGGGCAGAGCATGGCTTTCTGAGGCTGTCCCCTGTTGCCACAGCAGATGTTTCAAATCATTGTTCCTATTCACAGCATGTAAGTTAGGTTGAGAGAATTGAGCTCTGACTGTCATCCATTTGAAGCAGAAATGTCTTATGGGCCTATCCTTGTTTAAGGAAATTGCTTCTGGTGTAACCTAGCTTGGCCGCTCACTCCCACTGGACTCGTTTCTTAAACTGTGAAATAAGGGGGTGGAGGAGATATCTCAAAAGCCTCTCTGAGCTTTAAGATCTTGTGATTCCCTGTTCTTTGAAGAATGGAGATGTCTTTTAGGAAGGGATTAGAAAGTAGTGCTCATTGATAATAATAATGGCTAATGTATTTGTTAATAATAATAATGGCTAACGTATTTGTTCATAATAATAATAATAATGGCTAACACAATATACAACATTTCACCGTGTGGCAGGCATTGCTCTAAGCTCCTTTCTTATATGACTCGTTTAATCTTCACAACAATCTGATGAAGTAGCTACTATTATTACCCCCATTTTACAGATGAGAAAACTGAGAAGAGATGGGGAAACTACACGTAGAGCACTTTGTATACCGAGAGCATAGCTGTTGTTGTTGTGTACCATCAAGTTGATTCCCACTCATAGCAGCTAGCAGTTTGCAATTAATTTAAAATATTTACAGCATGTTAGTTGGAGAGAATGCTGTTTATTGCCCAGAAGGGAATACTGAGAGAGGTTGTAACAATTTGCCATAACTGATGTTTCTCTTCTGGGAGCCAGGTCATCAACCCCATGGGATGGGATGCATTTGGATTGCCTGCCGAAAATGCAGCCATTGAGAGGAATCTGCATCCAGAAAGTTGGACACAAAGGTATGTGTTTACTGTCTGTTCAAAGACTTATATACAGAAACCTTTAGACCAATTTTTTTTTTTTTTTTTTACCCTGTGCACGAGAAATCGAAAGCAGAGCAAACGAAGCATTGCGGTCTGCCAGACAGCAGACAGGAGTCTATACACTGATGTTTGTCTGTTAGCACGCTGTGTTCTTATCTAAAACATAACAAAGAGGTTTTGGGTATTCATCCATGTGTTCATTTTGATGCTTTGTTATTTACAAAGTTATTCTCCCTTTCTTTGAGTATTTGCATTTAGAAGGAAAAAGGAGGAGAGGATCACATATGTTAAATTTCTGTGATGCATTTCATCTTCTCCTTAACTGCAGTTTGACCTGTATATAAATTCTACATTATAATTTTTTCTGAAGATTCTGTTAATTTTTTATTTCATTCAGAAGCAAGAGGAATTTAGGCACTCAACGTGGAAATATATGGCAACTTTATTCTGGGTGTGACTTTCTCCAAGTGGCAACACACTCCTAATCCCACTCTTGCCTCAGGTTTCCATGTACACATAGGCTAGCAGTGCCCATCCCTCTCCCATCTGATAAAATCCTTTAGGGCCTCACACCGGACCCAGGAGAATGCTGTGGCCCCACTACATGAGCCCCTTTCACAAAGGTCTGGGTCCTTTCCCCACCCTACCCATTAGAGATGTAGAAGGTCAGTTCCAGAACCTGTCCCCAGTGTCCTTCACCTCTTTTGCTTTATCTTGCCCAAGGCTACTTTGTAAAAATACCTACTGTACCATTCACTTCCCTTTTTTCTTCCTAACCTCTAGTTTCCACTTTTCTGGTTATGGTTAATTCTAGATTAATGGGAGTAATTTGAAAAAAGGAGAAAATTATGATACAAATAAAACTGATCAAATGTGGCAAAAAATAGTTTAATGTAACCTAGATTGGAGGTTGGCAAACTATGATCTGTGGGTCAGATGTGGCTCACTGTCTGTTTTTGTAAATAAAGTTTTATTGGAACACAATCACACCTATTTGTTTACTATATTTTTACGCAAATAACACATGCCTTCTATGTTTGTTTGCCAGCTGCACCCTCTCCACCTCCTTGAGGTATTTTCCTAAGCGTGCTATGCTAATTTTTAGTATAATTATGAAAATACCACAAGGTGGGTGGGGAAGGTAGCCTGGCAAACAGATGTAGAGGTGTGTGTTATTTGCATAAAAATACAGTACATACTGTCTATGACTGCTTTCATGATATAATAGCAAAGTAGTTGCAACAGGGACATATGATCCACAAAGCTGAAAATATTTACCATCTGACCTTTTACAGAAAAAGTTTACCAACCCATGCACTAAAGCACAGCAGTTAAGAAGATGGCCCCTGACTCAGGAAATTTAGGTGCAAATCATGCCTTTCCTTCCTGCTAGATAATCACCTTGAGCAAATCACGTAATCTCTCTGTGCCTCATTTTTATTATCTGTAAAAGAGAAATATAGTACCTACTTCATATGACTGGATAAAGATTAAACATTTATCTGCAAAGTGCTTAGCACAGGGTCTGGAATAAAATGAGCTATTATTGCTAATCAGAGATTACTCTGAGGACTCTGATGGTTTTTCATACTTTCAATCTGCTTGAACTGAAAGAGGATGCAGTAGAATTAATTAGTCCTTTTTCTTTTAAAAAATTTTTGGTGAAGATATACACAGTAAAACATACATCAATTCAACAAGTTCTACATGTACAATTCAGTGACATTAGTTACATTCTTCAAGTTGTGCCAGCTTTCTCAATATCCTTTTCTGAATTGTTTCACCATCAGCAACACAAACTCACTGCTCCTAAACTTCTCATCTAACCTTTTGAGTTGCTATTGTCAATTGGATCACATATAGATAATTCTTTAAAAGAGATCTCATATAGATAATTCTTTAAAAGAATACAACACTCAAGGTGGACATTCTTTTCTAATTAAGCTAAACTGTTTGGTTTAAAGATGAATTCAGGGGATAGTTTCAGTTTAAGGTTAAGGTTTAAAGATTTCCTCCAGGCAATAGTTTCAGGGGGTTCATCCAGCCTCAGTGGCTCCAGAAAGTCTGGATTCCATGACAATTTGAAGTTCTGTACCACATTCCTCCTTCCCCCCCTTGGTCAAGATTCTTCTATAGAATCTTTGATCAAATCATTCAGTAATGGTAGCTGGGTAACCATCCAGTTCTTCTGGTCTTCTGGCAAAGAGGCAGTTGTTTATGGGGGCAATTGGGCATGTATTCCAGTTCTTCCTTCAATTCCTGATCCTCCATTTTCCTCTGCTGCTCAAGGTGAATAGAGACCGGCTGAGACCAGTTATTGTACCTCGGATGGCTTCTTGCAAGCTTTTAAGACCCCAGGCACTACACAGTGAACTAGGAGGTAGAATAGAAGCACTAAAATCAATACTGGACCACAAAACCATGACCCTAAATCTCAGAACCAAAGAAACAAATCCCATTAGATGTTTGGTTGTACTTAGGCAGTATCAGCAACTGCCTTTTGTTTTTGGTAGAAATATATAATACAACATTTGCATATTCAAACTTTTTCAGGTTTATAGCTCCCTGATATCATCTACATAAATCATGTTGTGCAACAATTTCCCTTAATTGCTAAATATCCCTTCACCATAAACAGAAAGTCACTACTTCCCATACGATGGCTCTCCTTCTTCCCCTTCACCCCTGATAACCACTAATAAACTTTGGTTTCTGTTTGCCTATTCCTGTCATTTCATATATGTGAGATCATACAATATTTGTCCTTTTGTGATTGACTTATTTCACTCAGCGTTGTATCCTCACGGTTCATCCATGTTGTAGCATGTATCAAGACTTCATTTGTCTTTATGGCTGAGTAGTATTAGCCTTTTTTCTTAAAAAAAAAGAAAAAGAATGATTGGTGTCCTTATTCTATATTATAAGTTGATGATGGACCATTTTAGGTTTTGAGTGACAAAGCACAATGCAGTTTCTTTTGAATTCCCCTAATTTGTGCATTAGAGTTTTTCTTTTGAATCCACTTAAAATTTGCTCCACAAAAATGACAGTATTTACTCCACAAAATGGAGATTTCATTGCTGGGCCTGTCAAGGAGACATCTTTTTACTCATGAAAGTACCCGGGACAAACTCAAATGACCTCTCCTCCTCCGCCAACAGTTTCTTACATGACTGAGGTTTGACAAGTACAGTATATATTGCAGATTGCAGATACGTTGATGGGCCAGGGGTGCATGTATCAAAGGGATTTCCTATCTGGATGGCCAGGGGAAGGGGCAGTCCCTGGGACCAAAGACTAACGTGGTTTCTTGTGGATTCTATATATGTCCAAATGGTAGATATCTTATTATGTGTTGGTATTTTCACTGATTCTTAGTGATTTATTTAATTTTTTCTGCTAGGAAAAATAACACTTCACTCCCTCTTTTGAAGAATCTAGACTTTACCAGTTTCCCATCATATCCTCAAAGTGTAGTTGGTTTATGGTTTTTCCCCTCTAAAAACCAAACTTTCTTCCTTTATTTCACAGTAATATTAAACACATGAGGAAACAGCTTGATCGACTGGGCCTGTGTTTCAGCTGGGATCGGGTAAGCTGACCGTTTTTCTTGGAAGGCTGTTACAGTCAGGAAGGCCCAGTTGCCTAGAGAACTGTGCACGTTTCTTTCATCCTGCTCTTCTTTGGGAGAAGACAGGGGAGAAAGGCAAGAGAGGAGGGTTAACTCTCCACAGATAAAGTGTTCCAGTGGGTAATTTGCCCACAAACAAGTAATCTTCTCAGGGCTTCAGCCAAGAGAGTTGGTAAACTTCTTTAACTTTGGACTTGCCTGTGATTTCATACGTTGCGAAAGCTTTGCACAAGGATTTCTTCGGTCCTCAGCAATGTGGTTTAAAAAGACTATTTTGATCTATATAAAAGTGATTCAGTATCACCCATCTGATCCTTTCATGTGATTAGGTGTTAGGTTGATTGAACACTTACCTTTTGTTCCAAGTTTGGGAGTGAGGCGCATAACAGCCCGTAATGCCTCCTTTCGGTGTAAGATGCTTTACAGCTATATGTTAAACCGGTGGAGAATTCCACACAGAGAAGGAGTTCACCGAGACTGCTAGGATGTGAGGAACATTCACGCTAAACGTGAACTGAAGGCCTCAGAGCTCTGGCGAAAGTCCCACCCCTTAGGCATGATGAGTGGCCTTTAGGTAACATGAACTCCTGCTTGTCCCCTCCATGAAGGACCCCTTCTAATGTCATCATTCCTCTTAGTATCCTATTTACTTCACAAAATGACTGAGGTTTCATTGCTGGGCCTGTTAAAGCAACATCTTTTCACTCATGAGAAGTACCCGGAACAAACTCACATGTCTTCTCCTCCTCCCCCAACAATTTCTTAGATGATTGAGATTTGATGAGTACATTGAAAAAAAAAGTCAAACTCATTTGAACAGGGCTTTTTTTTTTTTCTTCTCTCTCTCTCCTTTTTTCACTTCATAATGAAAAGGCATGGGCTGAATCAAGTTCTAATTGCACCACCAATGCTATTTTTACCACTGAAGTGCAAGGTCACAAGTGTTTCATTTAGCTCAGGTGTAAAAAAGTCCTGGTGCCTGGGTCAAGGTGTCCTGAGGCTCCAGGGAGAATAGCTGATGTAAAATGAAACAAAATCCAAGGCAGAGAGAATTGAGTAATACAGAGTAATACTGAGTAAACAGAGGCCTTCCCAGATGAGGTTGTAGATTCCTTGAGGACAAAGATGGATGCATTAACTCTTTAGGATGATAACTAGCCTAGTTCTGATTTAAAAAATTATTGGATTATTTTCTAGTTTAACGTAGGTGATTAGAAAATACAGAAAAGCATAAAAAAGAACGTAAGTCATTGTGGCTAATTTAACATTCTGGTATGGTTCCTTGCAGTCTTTTATTCTGGAATTATAAACATCTATATAATTTACTTTTATAAAATTGAATTCATAGTGCATACATTTTTGTCTTGCTTCTTTTTACCTAGTGTTCATAAACATTTCCCCATTTCAGTAAATAGTCTTTGAAAAAGTGACTTTTTCTAGCTGTATAGTTTTCCATCTTATGAATACATTATGACTTATTTAACCTGTCCCTTCTTATTATACATTTAGATAGATTCTAATGTTTCTCTATTATAAATATAGGTTCTCAATCCCTGCTAGGCAAATCTGAAGTCTAGAAAGCTCTGAAAACCAAAACTTTTGTCATAACTCATTTGACTGCAAAACCTGACCTTGAATTGATGTTTGTCTCACTTACAGTGAATATTCATGTTTTACTATAAGCATAACATGGCACATATCAGGCACTTACTGTCCCAGACTAGTTGGGTACATGCGCTGTTACTGCCTTTCAATGTCTAAAAAGTTCTTATTCAGAAGCACAGCTGGCTGTATGTGTTTCAGATAACGGTTGTTGAACCTGTATTGCAAGATTGTAAATCAATATCACCACTCTTGCTATCACCTAATAGTTATTGAGCACTGACAAGGTGCCAGCCACTGTACTGGGTGTTACCTGCTTGTCTCTTTGGAGCCCTAGAAAGCCCTGAAAGGTCGGTACTTTTATTGATTTTATTGCTGGTCACCCAAGTGGCAGGACTGGGCTTCTAATCCAGTGGCCAATTAATGCCTGCTAGGCTCACCCCCTCTCCCCACTTGGGGCAGAAATCTTAGTGTACATATTTTATTATTTCTGTAATATGAGTTTTCAAAAAAACCATGAAGGACTTTAAGGGTTGTTATTGTTACTGCAAATTATCCTCCATGGAGGCTGCACAAATTTACACTCCCAAAGCAGTGCCCTGCATGGCCTGTTGTACAACATCTTCACCTCGAAAAGTTATGCGGTTCTTTTCATTAGTATTTTTTAATTGTCAGTGATGTTGAATTTTTTATGTGTTTACTGCATGTTTGAATTTGGGGTATGTGTGTGTATGGTCTAATCATGTTTGTGCTCATTTAGGTAAGGGATGTTTATCCTTAATGATTGTTTTGTTTTCTTACAAATGTTTTTCCTCATTTTGTCGTTTGCTTTACATTTTGTTTATAGTGGGATTATTATTAGCACAGAGATGCGTACTTGGAAAGGCCTCCTCTGAGATAAGATAAATACGTTTTTATTTTCTTTAATTTTTACATTTAGCTCACCTGGAATTATTCTAGTACAGTAAAACTCGTGAAAGTCGGTACTTGAATAAGGCAGAAACCTGTCAGAGAAGGAAAACGCAGATATTTTCCACTAATAGAAAGGTAGTAAGACTGCACCCTGTCAAAGGTGGAAAACTTGTGAGACCTGGAAAAAATCAAGGCAGCCCCGCTGAGTTTCAACTTTCACAGGTTTCACTGCATTTTTAATTACACTTGCTTTATAATTGCTTTAATATCTGGTAACAGGAATTTCTTCTCATTGTCTAATATTAATAATATCTCCCCTACTTTCTTATGTTTCTGTTTCCCTGGTATGTTTTGTCCTTTTCTTTTTTTTTGCCTTCAACCTTTCTTTCTTTTTTTAAATATTTTACTGAGTTTTTGGTGAAAGTTAAGATTCCCATTTAACAATTTCTATACATATTGTTCAGTGACATTGGTTACATTTTCCACATTGTGTCAGCATTCTCATTATTTCCATTCTGGTTGTTCTGCCTCCATTATTGGACCTTTCTTTGTCTACTTCTTTTGTTGCATCATTTGTAGGTGTAATTAGTTAAAAAATTAAAAAGATGGGCAAAGACCTATGGGGGAAACCTTTTGGCCAATCTGGAGTCTTTGTCTTTAATAGGAAAGTATAAGCTATTTGTATATAGTTCCATAGCTGATAGTTATTTTCTAATTAGACTTTTTAAGGCAGTTTTGTGTGTGTGTGTGTGTGTGTTTAATGGTATAGGGTATACAGTTAACTTTATGAAAGAATTTGGTCTTTGTCCTTTGGTCCTGGGAGGTAACCTCTATACCCTTGGAATTTCCTGAGTGATTAGAATGTCTTTGTTCTCTGGACCACACCTAATTAGGTATGTGGTCACCTAATGAGGTAACTCTTGGATGGGGGCTGTCCAAGTCAGAAAGATCCACCACATGATATTAGCCCAACCTCAGGGGATGAGGGCTGGAGGTTGAGTTCAACCATGTGGGCAGGGATTCAATCAGTCATGCCTGTGTAATGAAACCCCAGTAAAAATTCTGGACACTGAAGCTTGGTGAGCTTCCTGGTTGGTGAAAAACATCAGTGCTTGAGAGGGTGATGGGTTCCTTTTTGGGACATGGAAGCTCCATGCTGGGGACTCTCCCAGACCTCACCTTATGAGTCCCTTTATTTGCATCCTTTTTGCTATAATAAAACTGTTATTTTAAGTATAGCACTTTCCTGAGTTCTGTGAGTCATTCTAGCAAATTATCGAACCCAAGGGGGGTAATTTGTAGCCAGATGGTCAGAAGTTTGAGTGTCCTGAGGACCCCCAAACTGGTGACTAGCATCTGAATTCTTGCACAGACTTGGCAGTCTGGAGGACTCTGCCATTTAACTTGAAATACCTGACCTAGCTCTGGGTAACTAGGACCAGAATAAGAACTGCATATGCAGTTGGTGTCAGAGAGGATGTTTAGAGTTAAGAGTGTGCATTGGACGAGAAGGACACAGGGACAGAAACACAGATAGATATATTAAATGGCACCTTCCTCTAGAGATTTTTAAAAAAATCAGTTCTCTTTTACATTCTGTTAGAAGTTATCGTTAAAGTTTCCTGTTTCTGTTTTTTTTTTAAAACGTAATGTTTAGTATCAACATAAAAAATAAAACAATATCTTTTTCTTGCTTTCTATGTAAGATAAGATAAGGAAAGTAGCAGGTAGTTACACTTCTCACTTTATTAACTTATTTTGCAAGGTTTTTTTTGGTATATTCTGAGATTTTAGGTCTAATTTATTGTCGTATTGTAATTTTCTCGATCGTATATAATTTTTCAGTCATGATGTTTGATACTTGTTTTCAGTTTTGAAATCATTTATAACAATTATGAATTTAATGCTATTTAAATAGGTTCAGGGCTCATCAGCAAACCTTTTAGAGTATGACTGCCCATTTCTAAAATTTTTATTTGTGAAAATTTTTAAAATTTTATTTTAACCCTTGCTTTGGATTCTCTGATGTACATTATTTTCATAACTGAGGCTGACTTTCTGTTGTTTGTTTTCACCTACGAGCAGCAACTTATTGGATTCTTTGTTCATTATCCTTTTCTTTCGTATCTCTGTAGTAGACCTTGATCTATTGTCTTTTTTTAAATAAATAATTATAGACTCAGGAAGATAGTATGGAGAAATCCTGTGTATCCTTCACCCAGCTTCCCCTAATGATAACGTCTTACATAGCTATAATACCACAACTAGAAAATTGACATTGATATAATACTGTTAACTGGACTACAGATGTTATTTAGATTTTACCTGTTTTTACATGCAATCGTGTGTGTGTGTGTGTGTGTGTGTGTGTGTGTGTGTGTGTGTGTGTGTGTGTAGTTCTATCTACTTTAACTACATGTAGATATTTGTGTAAACACTACCACCTG